CCCGTTAATTTTTTTTTATTTTTGTAGAATTCAATATTTTAAATGATAATTTTCATTAGTAATAATAGAAAATAGCAACTAAAATTATTTGTCAAAATCTAATGAATATGGGCAATAAAAATAAATTATCAAAAACTTAAAAAAAAAAAAATTTAAACGGGTAGTAAACGGGGCAAGGACCCCGCCACGCCTTAAACAGGTAACGGGACGAGGAATTTCTTAGCGGGGAGGGCCGCCCCGCCCCACCCCGTTGTCATCCCTATTCTCCTATAGTCTGTTTTTGATGTGTGGTACTCTCAGACTCAAAATGAGAATGGATACATGTGCTACTTACCCAAAAAACAGGGCAATAGTTTAGACTTTAGACTGCCATGCTTCAATAAGAAAGTATTTGGATCCTCCCATTTGCAATATGTCTGTAGTGCTGTTGGCCAACAAGTATATCTTAAGCATTCTATAGCTCAGATATATATGTCACTGTTTATTCATCTAAAGAACTTTATGGTTTCTTCACTTGTATGAAAGTACAAGCATTACATAACAATACTTTTCTTGTCTACTTGTAAAATTCCTTCAGATGTTTGGCTTATGCATGTAGCTTGATGTCGTCTTATATTGATGAGGAACAGTCTATAGATAAATAAAGTAAGCAGTGACATGTTTTGAATGTTTTCTTTAATGGAGATTTTTTGCTTCAAATTCTGAAATGCAGTGGATTCTGCCTTGTTTTAGCTTTTGCTCCTTATCGAAGCACGGGGCAATTCCATAATCAGGTTGTACTGAATTAATTAAAGTATCTCAAAACTTTGGCTAATCATGGGAGCCCTTAGACTTGTTCATTAGTGGCTTCAGTTAATAGAGGTTATGGGCTTGCTGAGATCTCAGTGTATTTGTTTTTGAGACTAGTCGCAACGTTAATGCATTGAATGGCTGCAGCTTTGTTTACATGCAAGAGACTCACTAAATTTTCTTGAAACTGATTGGAAAACTTACATGTTTAATGTAACTTTGTCAGGAAGATAGGCTCCTTCAAAAAATGGCTCCGTTTCAACCATCTTCTCTAAACTGGAATGCAGTACCTGGTTCAAGAACCACTCCAGTTGTGAAGAAGGTTATCCGATTGGATGTTCCTGCAGAGAAATACCCAAGTGTAAGTAAAAGTATCTTTAGCGAAACGGAGTGTTTGGTTATTTATCTTTATTCATATTGTTGGAAGATATAAAAAAATAACTTCTAACTTGAATTTGTGCAGTATAATTTTGTTGGCCGAATTTTGGGACCGCGTGGAAACTCTTTGAAAAGGGTTGAAGCCATGACAGAATGTAGAATATATATTAGGGGTCAGGGCTCAGTGAAGGATTCTCTTAAGGTGCCAATTCTTTTTACTTTTGGTTTATGCGCCATGGTTGTGAAAAACATTGATGTTACTAAGTGCTTGTTTGGTTTTCGTTATAAGTTCATTGTAATTTAATTGGATGGCATCACCAAACTTCGCTGGTTTTGTTACTCCCCATATGAAATTTTCTGTTTTCCAGCTGTGAGGCGAGAGATTGTGTGAATATCAGTCGTGGCTTTTCATATTTTCTCACAACTGCGTCCTTTGTCTCCTTAGGAAGAGAAACTAAAAGACAAACCTGGATACGAGCACCTAAATGAGCCACTACACATCTTGGTGGAGGCTGAGTTTCCCGAGAATATCATAGACGCCCGCTTGGATCATGCAGTAGCAGTACTTGAAAAACTATTAAAACCCGTGGTATGGATTTGAACAGCTATGTATACCTTTGATATCATTAAACCCATCTTATCTATCGGCATCTTACTGCTTCTCCCTTTTTCCTTTCAGGATGAATCCATGGACATTTACAAGAAGCAACAGCTGAGAGAGTTGGCTATGCTAAATGGTACGCTAAGGGAAGAAAGCCCTAGCATGAGCCCGAGCATGTCTCCTTTCAACAGCAATGGCATGAAACGAGCCAAAACAGGAATATAACACTACATGATAACTACTGGTGTCTCTTTGTGATATCAAAGGTGTGAGCTTGCAATTAACGTTCTGATGATACGCTTAGAAGTAGCTAATCGATACCAACTCAGCCAAATTTGTTTGGGATGGATTAGAATGACTCCGTGCTTTGCTTCTGCTCATGATGGCGGGAACTGAGACAGAAACTGCTTCATTTCAAGTAGATTGAAGAAAATTTTGCTTTACTTTTGACAGACTATTATCTTTTGCATGTACTACTGCCTTATTTCATAAATTAGATTGCTTCATACACGAGTTTCAATAATGTTATTCTCGTGCTCCATTACAACTATCTTCAAGAGCTTAAAAAGCCTGTAACATTTGAAGTTATTTGGAAGTTTCTATTTCCCGGGTACAATTCTGGTCGACTTCATTCAGAAACCATGGTTCAATGTTGATATATTTTATCTTAACCTATTATGTACTATTTTAGTGTGTATTATAAATTTTCTTTATCCTAATATTATTTAGTATAAATCGATTGAGACGAATTAATGATTAATAAGCATATTAAAAAAAAAAGACGGGCAGATATTCGGTAGGAGTGATAACAATCATGCTTGATGTACATTATGTTGTATATCAAGTTTTATACTTTGTCATGTGAAAACAAATTATTGTACAATTTAAAAATAACACAGTTTTTAATCCAATTATTTGTTGACAAGTTGAATAATGTCAACAGTGGCGTACACTAAAAAGTGCACAAATGGCATTACCCGAGTGATGATGGGCTGAGTCGAGTCGCTCGATTCATTAAAAGATTCATTAAAAAAGGGTGTTCAACTTGATCAAACGAGTCCGAGGACGAGCCAAACTCGTGAACAATTCGATTTGTTTGCCATCAAGATAATAGTAATTTTTGAGTATGGAATGAAATTCTCAAAAGTTAGGGGCATGTTTGTCAAAAAAAAAAATTGAAAGAGGGAGAGAACAAGAGAAGCCATTTCAGGAGGGGCGTGTGTCATAAAATTGAACAAAAAGGAACTGCTATGCAATCATAAATAATCCTCCAACTTTTGCGCCTAAACTTTCTTAATTTCGACTACCGGTTCCACAGGAGAGCGAAAATCGGATATATATAAATGGCGAGAGGCCGGACGTGGAATATGATTACTTGTTCAAGGTGGTAATAATCGACGATTCGGGTGTTGGCAAATCAAATTTACTCTCCCGATTCACCCAAAATGAATTCTGCTTGGAATCAAAATCTACAACTGGAGTCGAATTTGCCACCCGTACACTCCAGGTTCGCTGCTGCTGCTATTTATTTTTAGTATTTATCAATGCGGATAAGCAAAAAATAGTAATTTATGTATGCACCTGTCGAGGCCACGTGTCAATGGATTTGAATTTTACTCTATGTGAATGTTTATATGTTATTTAGGCCCTGTTTGGTACACGTGATTTTTTTCATTCTCATTCTTCTACTCATTTTCAACCACATATTCTTCAATAAAATAATATTTTTATCACATCAATCACTTTTCTTTCATCTTTAACCACACATTCTCCATCAATCTACTATTCAATAATACATTCTTTCAAAAGAATGTGTCTCAAACACACTCTTAGCCTCGTGGACCCATTATTCTCAAAATTCATTTTTTCAACTCATTTTCAACAAAATATTCTTTCCTAATATAATTTTACTTGCAAATTCAAAATTTTTCCTTATTTTTCAACAATATATTTTCAACTTTTAAAAACATAATTATATTATATTTTTAATCTTATGTAAATTTACCTAAATAGACATATAAAAAATTAAATATTAATATATCGTTCTAAATTTATCCATTAATTTTTATTTAAATAAATTCTTTTGAACATTTTTATATTCTTTTGGAGTTTGTATTTAGCTAGAATAATGAATCGTCTTCAACTAAAATGATAAACCCTACTGATCATAAAATACCCTCTTCAACCGAAAAAAAAAATTAAAAAAGTCTATACATTATTTTATTTATAATTCTTTCATGATATGGAAAATGGAATCTTATTTTTTATGCTTTGTTTAAGTATTAGTTTGACAGATGAAAGTATACAAGAAATTTCAAAATAAGTTTCAACATCTATCCAAATATTTTTACATTTCTAAAGGAAATTACCAACCAAAACACAAATAGTCAAAATTATTAGCTTATAAGCAAAAAAATAAAATAAAATTAATTAACGTACGATTTGAGGAGGGATTTGTTTGGTTACGTGAACAGCGTACTATTGAGAGAATCCAATATATTCAAGAAAAAAGATTCACTAACCTTTACAACTAAATATTAAAACACCGAAATGGCAATATAGAAAAGGAAAAGTAATTTGATGTTGATAGTGATTTGATGAATATAGTAATTTTTTAAAATTTTAAAATTGTATTAAGGATGTATTTAGAGTGGGATGGATATACAAAATTTGTGTGGATCTACAACGTGTAAATGAATGAATTTAATATGGATAATAATGGAATTTGACGTGGATGAAAATATTAATTTTTTAAAATTTTAATATTTTAATAGGAATGGATATAGAGTGAAATGAATATATAAAAACTGTGGATGTAAATAGCGATACCATTTTTTTATTTGATTTAGTTTAGGATATTTAGATCTTTTTATGTTTGTTGGCGCTGTTTTTGGAGTGGTGATCTGTTGTAGATTCTGTTGATTTACCTGATATGCTTGCCCTTTGTAATTCTAATTGAAGTGAAGTGAAGTGAAGTTGAGATTTCAATAATTGTAAATTAAATATGGTTTTATTAATGCTAACTATTTTAACTTAAATATTGTTGAAAATTAATGCATTCGAGTTCGATCTACACATCAGGGGCGGACCCACATGGGGTCATGTGGGGTCAAATGACCCCACAAAAAAAATTTTGAGTTTTTTTTTTTAACCTAACACTTAACCCATTTGAAAAATACCAAGTAGCC